CCTCTCTTCTTCGGGGAAATCCTACGCAGTGCTCAAGAGGTAGCAAGAAGAATTTATGGCGCCGTTGTCGGGGAGTCTACGCAAAAGTCAACATACCAAGTACCCATCACAATCCGTATCTCTCGCACTACATTATTTGCCATTTACCTCTCGTTATGTTGAGATTGCAATTGTTTCTTTCCGCTTCCTTGCATATGCTAGTTTTTGCTTGCTATGATAATTTGTTTGCCTATAAGATGCCTATGCATAGGAAGTATGTTAGACTTAGATGTGTTTGCCACGTGTTTCATGATGCTTCTTTTGTGCTTCAATTCTTGTCTTTCATGTGAGCATCAATGAAATCTCTATGCCTAGCTAGGGGCGTTAAACGATAGCGCTTGTTGGGAGGCAACCCAATTTTATTTTAGTTTTTAGTTTTTTGTTTCTGTTTAGGAATAAATAATCCATCTACCTTCTGTTTAGATGTGGTTTTATCTTTTAATTAGTGTTTGTGCCAAGTTAAACCTATAGGATCTTCTTGGATGATAGTTATTTGATCTTGCTGTAATTTCCAGAAACTTCCGGTTCACGAAAACAATTATTAAAATTCACCAGAACGTGATAAAATAGTGATTCCAATTTCTGCCGATCAATAAAAAAATTGCCTAGGTCTTCCTATTTTGGCTGAATTTTTGGTGTTCCAGAAGTTTGCGTTAGTTACAGATTACTACAGACTGTTCTGTTTTTGGCAGATTCTGTTTTTCGTGTGTTGTTTGCTTATTTTGATGAATCTATGACTAGTAAAATAGTTTATAATCCATAGAGTAGTTGGAATACAGTAGTTTTAACACCAATATAAATAAAGAATGAGTTCATTACAGTACCTTGAAGTTGTGTTTTGTTTTCTTTCGCTAATGGAGCTCACGAGATTTCTGTTGAGTTTTGTGTTGTGAAGTTTTCAAGTTTTGGGTGAAATCTTTTGATGGATTATGGAACAAGGAGTGGAAAGAGCCTAAGCTTGGGGATGCCCATGGCACCCCAAAGATAATCCAAGGACACCAAAAAGTCAAAACTTGGGGATGCCCCGGAAGGCATCCCCTCTTTCGTCTACTTCCATCGGTAATTTTACTTGGAGCTATATTTTTATTCACCACATGATATGTGTTTTGCTTGGAGCGTCTTGTATAATCTGAGTCTTTGCTTTTTAGTTTACCACAATCATCCTTGCTGTACACACCTTTTGAGAGAGCCATACATGAATTGGAATTTGATAGAATACTCTATGTGCTTCACTTATATCTTTTGAGCTATATAGTTTTGCTCTAGTGCTTCACTTATATCTTTTAGAGCACGGTGGTGGATTTGTTTTATAGAAACTATTGATCTCTCATGCTTCACTTAGATTATTTTGAGATTCTTAAATAGCATGGTAATTTTCTTAATAATCTTAATATGCTTGGTATTCAAGATTTGTAAAATTTTCTTTTGAGTGCGTTGAATACTAAGAAAAGTTTGATGCTTGATAATTGTTTTGAGATATGAAGATGGTGATATTAGAGTCATGCTAGTTGAGTAGTTGTGAATTTGAGGAATACTTGTGTTAAAGTTTGTGATTCCCGTAGCATGCACGTATGGTGAACCGTTATGTGATGAAGTCGGAGCATGATTTATTTATTGATTGTCTTCCTTATGAGTGGCGGTCGGGGACGAGCAATGGTCTTTTCCTACCAATCTATCCCCCTAGGAGCATGCGTGTAATACTTTGCTTTGATAACTTCTAGATTTTTGCAATAAGTATATGAGTTCTTTATGACTAATGTTGAGTCCATGGATTATACACACTTTTCCTTCCTTCCACCATTGCTAGCCTCTCTAATACCGCGCACCTTTCGCCGGTATCATACACCCACCATATACCCTCCTCAAAATAGCCACCATACCTACCTATTATGGCATTTCCATAGCCATTCCGAGGTATATTTCCATGCAACTTTCTACCGTTCCGTTTATTATGACACGCTCCATCATTGTCATATTGCTAGCATGATCATGTAGTTGACATCGTATTTGTGGAAAAGCCACCATTCATAATTCTTTCATACATGTCACTCTTGATTCATTGCATATCCCGGTACACCGCCGGAGGCATCCACATAGAGTCATATTTTGTTATAAGTATCGAGTTGTAATTGTTGAGTTGTAAGAAAAATAAAAGTGTGATGATCATCATTTTTAGAGCATTGTCCCAAGTGAGGAAATGATGATGGAGACTATGATTCCCCCACAAGTCGGGATGAGACTCCTGACGAAAAATAAAAAAAGAGAAAAAAAGAGGCCATAAACAAAGAAGAGAAAAGGTCCAAATAAAAAAATGAGAGAAAAAGAGAGACGGGACAATGTTACTATCCTTTTACCACACTTGTGCTTCAAAGTAGCACCATGATCTTCATGATAGAGAGTCTCTCTTTTTGTCACTTTCATATACTAGTGGGAATTTTTCATTATAGAACTTGGCTTGTATATTCCAATGCTGGGCTTCCTCAAAATGCCCTAGGTCTTCGTGAGCAAGCGAGTTGGATGCACACCCACTTAGTTTCTTTTGTTGAGCTTTCATATACTTATAGTTCTAGTGCATCCGTTGCATGGCAATCCCTACTCACTCACATTTGATATCTATTGATGGGCATCTCCATAGCCCGTTGATACGCCTAGTTGATGTGAGACTATCTTCCCCTCTTTTTGACCACCATTCTATTCCACATATAGTGCTATATCCATGGCTCACGCTCATGTATTGCGTGAAGATCGAAAAAGTTTTGAAAATGTCAAAAGTATGAAACAATTGCTTGGTTTGTCATCGGGGTTGTGCATGATTTAAATACTTTGTGTGGTGAAGATAGAGCATAGCCAGACTATATGATTTTGTAGGGATAACTTTCTTTGGCCATGTTATTTTGAGAAGACATAATTGCTTTGTTAGTATACTTGAAGTATTATTATTTTTATGTCAATATGAACTTTTGTCTTGAATCTTTCGGATCTGAATATTCATACCACAATTAAGAAGATTTACATTGAAATTATGCCAAGTAGCACTCCGCATCAAAAATTCTCTTTTTATCATTTACCTACTCGAGGACGAGCAGGAATTAAGCTTGGGGATGCCTGATACGTCTCCAACATATCTATAATTTTTGATTGCTCCATGCTATATTATCTACTGTTTTGGACCATATTGGGCTTTATTTTCCACTTTTATATTACTTTTGGGACTAACCTATTAACCGGAGGCCCAGCCCAGAATTGCTGTTTTTTGCCTATTTCAGTGTTTCGAAGAAACGGAATATCAAACGGAGTCCAAACGGAATGAAACCTTCGGGAACGTGATTTTCTCATCAGATATGATCCAGGAGACTTGGACCCTCCATCAAGAAAGCCACGAGGCGGTCACGAGGGTGGAGGGCACGCCCCCCCTAGGGCGCGCCCCCCTGCCTCATGGCCCCCTCGAAGCTCCACCGACGTACTCCTTCCTCCTATATATACCTACGGACCCCCAAACGATCAGATACGGAGCCAAAAACCTAATTCCACCGCCGCAACTTTCTGTATCCACGAGATCCCATATTGGGGTCTGTTCCGGAGCTTCGCCGGAAGGGAAATCGATCACGAAGGGCTTCTACATCATCACCATAGCCTCTCCAATGAAGTGTGAGTAGTTTACCTCAGACCTTCGGGTCCATAGTTAGTAGCTAGATGGCTTCTTCTCTCTTTTTGGATCTCAATACAATGTTCTCCCCCTCTCTCGTGGAGATCTATTCGATGTAATCTTCTTTTTGCGGTGTGTTTGTTGAGACCGATGAATTGTGGGTTTATGATCAAGATTATCTACAAACAATATTTGAATCTTCTCTGAATTCTTTTATGTATAATTGGTTATCTTTGCAAGTCTCTTCGAATTATCAGTTTGGTTTGGCCTATTAGATTGGTTTTTCTTGCAATGGGAGAAGTGCTTAGCTTTGGGTTCAATCTTGCTGTGTCCTTACCCAGTGACAGAAGGGGCAGCAAGGCACGTATTGTATTGTTGCCATCGAGGATAACAAGATGGGGTATTTATCATATTGCATGAATTTATTCCTCTACATCATGTCATCTTGCTTAAGGCGTTACTCTGTTTTCATTAACTTAATACTCTAGATGCATGCTGGATAGCGGTCGATGAGTGGAGTAATAGTAGTAGATGCAGGCAGGAGTCGGTCTACTTGTCTCGGACGTGATGCCTATATACATGATCATGCCTAGATATTCTCATAACTATGCTCAATTCTGTCGATTGCTCAATAGTAATTTGTTCACCCACCGTAGAAATACTTATGCTCTTGAGAGAAGCCACTAGTGAAATCTATGGCCCCCGGGTCTATTCTCATCATATCAATCTCCAATCACTTTATTATTGCTTTGCTTTTACTTTTGCCTTTTATTTTACCTTGCATCTTTATACCAAAAATATTATCTATCATCTCTATCAGATCTCACTCTCGTAAGTGACCATGAAGGGATTGACAACCCCTAATCGCGTTGGTTGCGTTGAGCTATTGTTTAATGTAGGTACGAGGGACTCGCGCATGCCCTCCTACTGGATTGATACCTTGGTTCTTAAAAACCGAGGGAAATACTTACGCTACTTTGCTGCATCATCCTCTCCTCTTCGAGGAAATCCAACGCAGTGCTCAAGAGGTAGCAGCAACCGACCATGTGTAACCCTAGATACCCCTGGTGCCTATATAAGCCAGAGGGTTTAGTCTGTAGAGGCATTCGTCATCATCATGATTACCCCAAGGGTTTAGTCTCCAACTTACGATCTCGAGGTAGATGAACTCTGTACTTTGATACACCCATAATATAGGCAAGAGCATGACATAGGGTTTTACCTCCTTAAAGTTGCATATATTTCTACACTGCCTTCATACATCAGCTTATGTACAAATGCAACATGTTGCTCTCGACAAACAATTCTGCTCTTCCTAAGAAAAAACAATCATCCTGATGCATAAAAAGAGACTGATTAGTACATCGACCAAGCTTGAAGGTGTATTTTCCGCAGAAAAGGAGCGAGGGCCGTTTATGGCTCTGCTTCCGCTTTTGAACCCAGTACACTCGGGATAGCACCAAGGTTGTAATCTGATTGTGATACTGAATATCGAGCACTTAACCAAAGGTTTATGGCGTGGAAATCCAACCTTTGGAACCCAAGCACCAGTACCTTCTGCATATCTTTGTTGACAGTTCGACTGGATGTGTCTGATATCTGAGTACTGTGCATCTTACCAAAAGAACAAGTCTCTTGCTGCAGAACCACATAAGGATTAAGATACCATGCTGAGCAGCTTGGTGTAGCAAGGGAAACTAAATTGTGTGCTATTCACTTCAGTTAAATGGATTAGTGATTGAGAGACAATGTAGTCGATCATCTCTGCAGCCAACAAAGATGCGCCCACCCACCATCAAGGGAGATGAGAAGATGTCCCCAGGAAGATCCATGGCTGCAAACTCTTGCACAGAGTAACCAACTTTCCCCTGCTCAGCATCAGCTCTAATCCCAAGGACACGGACCTTCCCAGAACTTGTGCAGATACAAGCAAATCTGCAAAAAGAACAGCTATAACATTTTCACACCTATTTGCCATAAGACTTTGCTATCAATATGCCAAGTACCTCTCTGATGTTCCAGATGGTGTTGATGCTAACACTTCATCAACAAAAGCAGATGCAGTAATTGGGTCGCCGAAGTCATATGACCAAAGAAGATCACCAGATGTCTGTGGTGAAATCATTAATGTTTAAGTACTTAATGTGAAGATAAGCCATGATCTCCTAGTAAACCTAAAATGCAATAAATAAAGTTCAATTTTTAACACAAAAAGAACTTGAAAGTTACCCGCAGCTGCTAAATTGACATCACAAAATAAGTAAACACAACAGTGGGAGAGATTCTATGATCATTAACTGTATTTCTGGAAATGATGTGCAAAAAATACAGCATGCTACTCTCTCACTAATGCCCGTAAAAAAGATTGTGTTGTCTCAAAAGATACATTTGGAAGTTCAGTAAGTAAGACTTACAATATCAAAAGAGTATAAACTTCCATCACGGGAAGGTATCAGCACCTGCCATTGACATGTATGCAAAAGTTTGGTTCAGTTTACTTCAAACTGGGACCACATAAAGTTGTGAACTGTAGTTGAGCTCAAGCAATTAGCTCATGAGGAAATAACCTTTTCAGAATTCTCAAATTTAAATTATATACTGTGGAATAATATGAACATAAAACTACATAAGACAAACGAGATTTTGATAAACAAAGAACCATACCTGAGAAGGAAGCGCAGATGACACACATGCACCAGCAAAAATAGGACCACCAACAGTTGCCTGGGTTTTAAAGAAATTAGTTATGGCTCTGTGATAAACAATTAAATAATACTAACAAAATTGACAGTATGGAATAATACTAAATAACAACAAGATCAAAGCAAATAAAATCTTGATAGACAAGACTTAAAAACAAGGGTGTCTAAAACATAAATTGGCATCCATAAACTACAATTGTTCTCTTGAGTACTCTGCTCAATGTTAGTAAGTTCTGTAGGCTGAATAGTTAGCTTTAGTCTACCAGATGTCTGGTAGGTCTACCAGACAACTCTAAAAGAATAACTGTTCCTTTGTATATCATTCTGTTGCAGACTGTAACTTTGTAACAATAGCTTCACAAACACAATAGGGAGAAGAGCTATTCCACCTTCCAGACAACAGTGCCATGTGAGTTCAACGCGATCACCAGACCGTTCACCAAGCAACAAACAACTGCAAAATGGAAGTTAGTAATCAGTATAAATTGGCATCCATAAGTGAAAAATACTGAATGTACATAGCAAATTCCCAGTACATTCCTTATCGAACCCACACATTGGCTGAGGTCAATACACATGTTATGTTTAATTTATTTTTATAATGTTAAACTTGGCACCTTAAAACATATGCCACATAGCTAGCCAAAAGTATGCTCAGGACATGCACGGCTGCACAATTTTCTTGGGGCCTCCCCAACAGTTTCATGTTTAAAATAAATGGTTTTGACTGATGCTCAGATGCTGCCATGCCAGGGAGGAACTTATGGGATTCAGATTTTACAAGGAAACTTGAAAATATTGGATGAATAAAAGTGCATCGCTAAAAAAAATCAACATTTGAGAAATACATATGAAAAAGTAGGCAAAAAAATTCAACATTTCTGAAATACATATGAAAAAGTAGGCATTAACTAAATGGTGAAAAGGTGAATTTTCAAAAATTAAATCTGAATGTGGACCAACTCCTAAAATCGACTGGCTCTTGCTACCTTTAACGTTGCATCCTCGTAACTCTTTTTTGTGTCAAGAAAATTTAATCATAAAATACGCATGGACATACTGCAAGACATCTGTGCTCATGCCTCATGGCTAGCTTAAGAATTACCATTTCCACTTTGATGATCGATGGCAAGAGAACTGAAAATTGCTTCCCCAGCTTCATATTGCCAAACTATTCTGAATGATGGAACCTGCTACCACCAAAAGAAACCAGTGAAGACTCTAGATACTCACTCGTTGCTAATTATTTTACTTTCTATTACCAGCTTTGCTGCAGACAATTCCCATGGAAACAATAGAAAGAACGATAAAAAGAAAAGAAAAACATGCACATTTTCTCCTTTAAAGTTATCACGGGGAATATATCATAAGTCACCTCAAGGGATATTGCAGTTACAAGGCCACTCGTACAAGCAACATAGATCATGTCGTGTGCCTGCAAGGAGCAATCCAGATAACACAAGATCAATAGAGTCCTTGCACAGATTTAAGGCAGATGCATGCTGTGAATCAGTAAAAATACCATGTCCACAGCAGGAGAACCATAGATGCTTCCACCACAAGATACTTTATAAGCGCAGCAACGATCTTGGTAATTTAGTGCATATAAATGATGATCATAAGAGCCACACCTGACAACCATACACAGCATATTATTAACAAAAAATTTAACAGCAGTACAGTTGTCTATTGTGCAAACTTATGTCTCTGTATGATTGAAGAGTGAGTAGACAGATCATTGGTTCACTCATTCTAGCTGAAAACACAACATTTTATTATCATAATAACAAATGTGCTTTCATCTAAACTGAGAGAAAAGTTATATACAGAGAGAACTGTGACAGGTGATAGTAGCGTACTATGATGAACAAGAGAAAGATTATGGAATGGTACCATATTAAATTCCTTGTCCTGTCAACAACTGGTTGCATTTTTACCTGAAAGAAGATTCTTAATTTGGGATATGAAATATCAAAAATATTAGATGCTTCTTAAGATGTTCCATCATGTATGCTGTAACAAAATAATCATCGTGTGACTTAGTAACTGCATTATCAAATTCCATGTGCCAGAAATAGTACCATCATGGACCTTTGCATAACTTAAGTGTGACATTTAGCCCCTTTACCATTTCACTTGCAGCAGTTAAAGAACTATAGCCTACTCAACATGAACATACAGTCAGGAGACTTTCTGAAAATCAAACATCCCAAAGAAGCTGATATCTATTATAGTTTTATTTACGTCTAGCACACAAAATAATCAGTCCCTTGTCATTCTTAGTGTTCCTCAGAGATGGGATAAAAATACATCTGCCATATTTCAAAGTGAGGTTTAAAAGAAAATTCAAATAAAAATGCAGCAATTGTACCTCTCCATCTGTTTGAACTGTCCAAGATAGTTTACCAGTCAACATATCATGAAAGTAAATTTTCCCTTTATAACATCCAACCACAACCTGTCCAACAGATTAATGATGAGCTAGATCGCAAAATGATTGGCAAGTTGCTATGTCAACTAGTTCAAGAATCACATCACCTCTGAAAAATCACCAGTAATAGCAGCAGAACACTCCACACGTCCTTCCAATTTGACACTCCACCTCACTGAACCACTGCATAATAAATTGGAAGTAAATTGTAAAAATATTCAGTATGCATATGTCAGATCAGAACTTCTATCTCACTGAATCAAATTCAAATTAATTGAATCAATAAGAACGGCATGAGAGCATATGTGGCACACCAGACCGAGGATTTAGCATTCAAAGTAATAAGAAAAATAAAAGAAACAATGACTAAGAACTAGCAAGCAAAACTCACTTGCAACAATCGATGCAGAGAAATAAATGTGAATGGGACCCAATAAATATGTTTATCATCCCATTGTTCAGGACAAGCAAAGGTGAGGCATCAACACATGAATCCAAAGGAATGTTCCAAAGTTCCTGAAGATAACCTCTTTTGTTGTATGAAACATGTGAGCAAACATCTTCAAGTTGCAGCTTCCCTTCATCGTCATGCATAAATCTGTTGCAACGTCCAATAGACCACTTCTTGTGTAAACAAAAGTTCAGGATCCACTGACTCCCCATGACACTGTTTCTGTACTTCAAGCATGTATCCAAGTAGAGATCGTTTACCTGGCATCTGTCATCAGGAGAGAATGGATATTTGTTAAGCTGGCCATCTGTTTCATTTCCGTAACTCCCAGCAATTTGATAATGTGCACGCTTTCCATTTATCCGTGCTTTGCCTCCATGATAACTATCATCCACATTTGCAGCAACCGGGTCGAATAGTCCATGTATGCTTGTAGATACGTTCAGGCCCTTCTTAGGCTGAGGCTCATCAGTAGGAGAAACCAAATTACTATGCTCCACAACTAAAGCGTGCAAAAGCATAGAAGGGGTTGGATAGATATAAAGCAGTCTCATGTCAATCTCCAACTTGTGGGCTGCATGGGCGGCAGAAATTGAGTTACCACCCAAGGTGAAAAAATCATCAAACTCGGAAACTTCATCAACAAGCAGGGCGTCACAAAATGCCTATTGTAGATAGAGACAGCATCAGTACAACATGAACATGAATGGACACTGTACAAAAATAAATAAAAACTGAAAGAAGAAAAAAAACACAAATGCCAGATTAAAAAGAAACAATAAGTTATCAGGCAAAAAAGCAAAAACAAGAGACAACACTTAGAATTAAGAACAAACCTTTTTAATAACTTGTAAATATGGATTAACTGGACCACTTCCAGACTTAATTTGCTCAATTCCACATGGTTCCAATGCACATTCCAAACTTGATAACTTAACATAGTCAACCTTTCCTGAAGAAGTCAAAGGTAAGGACTTCACGTGGAGAAAGAAGCTTGGAATCATAGCTGGTGGAACCTTCTTGATGAGCCAACTTCGAATTGATGCCATGACATCTTGAGAAGAATTTACTTCTCTATACTGCACGCTATCTTTCACAATTTCATCCTTATTCTTAAACACCAGGTATGCCTTATAATCTGGAGACCCTTTACTTTGGAAAGTAACTGCAGCATCACTGACAGCAGGATGTTCCTTTAAGGTGGATTCTACCTCTTCTAGTGAAAAACGCTGCCCGTAATTTTTTACAGAACGGTCCCTTCTCCCAAGGAAAACAAGTTCACCAGCCTTCAGCCGTCGAGCATAGTCACCCGTTTTGTAGTATTTTGAACTTTCACTGCCTTCAGTGTGATTACTCCTCAGAAACTCAGCTAAATAACCATAGAATAAACATGCTCCACTAACACAAATTTCACCTTCAGCTGCAATCCCAGCATGCTTCACAAGAAAAACTTCACAATTAGCAATAGGAAATCCAATCGGTACACTGGTTATTTCTTCACGCTCTAAAATTGCAGGCAGATCTTTGCAATCAAAGAATGTACAATCACCAGAAACCTGAAACACAAGTACAAATTTTGAATAAAGATACATAACAAACACCAACACTATAATTTGAACCAGTCCCTGTGTGGACTAAACTGAACAAAAGATAGCAAAAAAGAAACAACAGTAATTTTAAGCCCCCAGTGAGATGAAACAATGATGCAACTGAGCTCATAGATTGATGGATATTAGGGACAGAAGTATGCCATTTCTGTTCTTCTATTTAACATGTTGCTCAGATTGCAACACTCTATGTATCTCTTCTGTGTCGTAATTCCAGACCAATTTAACATCTCAGGATGAAAAAGGGACACAAATTCAGTTTTAAAGATCATCTCCGGGCGTAAGAGGTAGTAGGGAACTCGAGCACTTAGTCCTTAATATGGCATAGCAACTCATTACAATGATTCCCCTAAATTTACATTTAATAGATAGCAGTAAAACTGTGGTTAGTAAATGATGTACCAATGGCAGGAGCAAAGCACTCCCTGTCACGAGCCTAATTTTTGGGGAGGAAATGTACATCCATAGCAGGAGCAAAGAACTCCCTGTCTCAAGCCTAATTCTGTATGAAATTTTTAGAAGGTTTTAAACTATCTGCATAAAGATGGCACAGAGAACTCAATTATGTGAATGCAATGAAAATATTTAAACATCCTTTTTATTAATAGCCAAGTTGGGAAAATTCAGCCGGCTGGCCAAAGTAGTGTTGATTAGCACTGGCGTTGTCTAGTGAAAACGTTAGGTAAGAGTAAGAATGTATCAGAGAGAGAAAATAGACTTGATCTCCTCTGGAAAAAAAAACAGAAAATATTTGGTGGGTAACTTTCTCACCTCTGTTGTTCCATACAAATTTATGATAGTAGTCTCTGGCAGAATTTCACGAACTCTCTTCCACAGCACTAAGGACAGAATCTCCCCACTAAATACCAAGATCTTAAGAGAGTTATATCCACATGAAATATTTTTCTCCAGGGTAGGTAGTATTATCTCCATCAGCGACGGAACTATAGTCACCCTTGATATACGATATGCCTATGACAACATGAGCCAATGCAAGGGCAATGAATGTTATACCAAAAAGACAAGGGAGTTTTATGTAATGATGGACCAAGAAAATCAGGAATAACATTCTAGGAGCTATTATTTTGTCAAGCATCTATTCAAGTCAAACAGGAAAGAGCCTCAGACAATCCCTTGATTACAACAGCAACAAACTATAAATATTGTTTGCTATAATAATGGTATAGTACATTATCTCAGTGTTATCCAATTTTCTCAGTGTTAAATGGTAATTCCACAATATCAAACTGAATTCTTGAAACGGTAATTTTATTTCTGAGATTCATATGCAATATTATTCAAGTAATAAGCTTTGGAGATTTTGATCAGACACATAAAAACTAACTGGATAAGGAAACCAAATACATGGAAGTATTTTCACTAGAAGAATGACTAACGCATATATGAAGGTTAAGTAACCTTAATCAAGTTGGCCAATGATGCTGGATTGGCTCTCCAATTATTGGGGGGAATGACAAGTGTTGTGCTAGTCAACACAGCAGAAAGAAACTCCTGAAGATGGTCAACAAAGCTGACAGATGTCTTAAATAACAACACATCATCCGAACACAAAGGATTCCTTCTTTGCATCCACAAAAAGCGATTCAGAAGACCTAGCGCATGATAGTAAAAGAAGCATTTCTCAGTAAATTGGTTGCTCAGCCAAACCTAAAATTCAGTGGGAACCACCTAATGGACACACCATAATAAAATTGCAAAACCGCCTAATAAGTGGAATAGTAACCTAGAAGTCTAGAACATCAGGCTAGCATCTAGAAATATGTTGACCAATTCCTTTGCCATTTCACATGCGGAGCAACATAATACCGTGATGAGTGATGACACATGTAATTTCACAACAATATGAATGTTTACCTTTCTCCATTCCACAAACACCTTTGGGTCTTCCAGTAGAACCAGACGTGAACATCACATAGCAGAACTCCCGTGGCCTCTCATGCTCGCACGGCCAAGCAAGCTCATCTCCACCAATCCCAACCTCTCCATCATATAACCCTTGCCGGATGTCTCCGTTCAATCGCAGAACAGGGCAAGAGCAGCCCTTAAGAACATCGTCTTCATGCGAAACCCCTGCCGATACGAGTAGCGCCGCATTAGAGGCAGAGACAGCTGACCGGACCCTGTCCTCCGGCCACGAGGGGTCCAGTGGCAGGAACGCCTCCCCGCACCTGAGCACGGCGAGGACGGCTGCGACGTACTCCACCGACGGCGAGGCGTACACCCCCACCACCCTAGGTGTCGCGCCGGCGCCTCCCCTCTGTCGATCCGAGCAGCCTAGGGTTCCAAATTCAGGGTCAGATAGGCGGGGGGAGGGGGTTGGGGGCGAAATTACAGCAGACAACAAATCAGCCGAGTGCATCGCAGCTCACACACGCACCTGGGGACTCGTCGTCGCCGGGATGGTCGGTGGAAGGGCGAGGAAGCGCGGCGGCTATGCGGCGGGAGAGCGAGGAGACGGCGCAGAGGAGGTCGCCGCAGGCGAAGCGGCGCCCGCCGTCGCCTGCGTGGACGACGGCGAGCCGGGCGGGGTCCCGGCGCGCGGCGCGGTCGAAGGCGTGCGAGATGCAGCACGGCTCATCCACCTCCGCCGCCGCCGCCGCCGCCGCCGCCATTCCGCCGCCGAGCTCGGCGCGCGCCAGCGGAGAAGGAAATTAAACCGACACCCTAGCGGAAGCGGATAGTGCAAAATCCGCCTTCGAGCTCAGTTTGCGTACTGTGCGGAGCCGTTTCCCCAACGCTGAGAAGCGCAAATCTTCAATTTTGTTTTTCTTGAACCGGCAAATCTTCAGTTTGTTACATGGTTCGAGTCGAAAATACATTTACACTTTGTATACTCCTATAGGCGAAGGGCATATCTCAGATACCTTTTATGTTCTAAATTAAGATTTATACCAAATCTAAATGGACGGATAAAAGATGCTAAACCTAAGTCCGGTGCCAACTATATTGATGGTGATTTGACCAACAAACTGATGACATCTTGTTCCATCTAAAGTAGACCTTCAGCAGTTCATGTTGGTGATCTTATCTACAGGCTTGTGAACATTATATACCTCGCCGATCAGTTACATATCAACGCAGTTGATTTTGTTGTAAACCATCTTGGACCGGCTGTAGAACTCGCACTTGTAGAACCTCTGGCACTCACACCTCTAAAACCAACTCGATGCATGATCCATACATAAATGCCCCTCCTTTTCCTGGTGTCTCTTATTCCCTGATAGAACTTTTATATTATATTTATGTTCATCTACCATCTCTCAAAGACTAGCTCCTCTTTCATCTTCACCTTTCACAAATCCGAATGTGATGGAAGAGTGTTCCAACTAGTAGAACTAGATGTCACTGCTTGAGTCACGATGGGGCGGTATATATGCACACGCACATACACACACCAAACATCATGATGTTCATGGTTGGAAGTCGTTGGCTCGGTACAATTGTCTATTTATTTATGTAAAGGTCTAAATGATATATTTCGTAGCCCTCCTTATTTTTCAAGTTAGACATGATATTTTTCAGCAACCATGAAGTAAAGCCTAAGTAAATATAGTAGTACATGCATCACGGTTGCTATGCGACCTTTTCCAGGGTGATGGCTAACAAGTTTTGACCGATATTTTTCTTTGAGAGCTCATGTATGGAGTTTGGCATTGTATTGTTCATACAAGTTACGATTAATGTTTGGAGATCTTATCTTCTCTTTTATGTAGGACAATGCGTTTACACAATACTATTAAAATGAGTATTAATCGCATAATTTTGGTGAAATTGTGATGCATAATTCTTTGTAATTCACATATATAAACTGAAATATCAAGAAAACAATGACTGGGTTTGAACACACTTTAAGTAAGGGGTCTGTCTAGGGCACATTTGTTTAGGGCACATCCAGATGTGCCCTAATTATTGCCAATTTAAGTGAATCAATCATACTATAAAGAAAAAAATAAAAAACATTGTCTAGACAAATCTTCACGTAGTCAATGACATATGACTTAGATGTGCAATACTTAGTGCACATCTAAATATGCTTTAGCATAACTGTCAAGAATAACTAGTAAATGCACCTGCAATGTCCATTGATATTTGGTGAAATATTAATTGCACACCAATATTAGCTAGAACAATAATTACATGTTAATTGTGGGATTAGAGTTGATATTAACATTTAATATGACATTAATTGCATGCTAAACATGTTGAGAGCAATCCAAATTGTTGAATCGGGCCGAGATTAGGTAATACTATCTCCATTTCAAAATGTAGTGCCTATTTGTTTTCTAAAAGTCAAACATGTCTTTGTTTGACCAAGTTTAAGGAAAAAATTGTCTGACATCCATAATACAAAGTTAGTTATTCGATTCACTATGAAGTGTACCTTTATATTTTATCTATTTAATATTTCAGATGTTGACAGGTTATCCTAAAAACTTGGTATAAAAATATGGTGTGAATGGTACAATAAAAAAGGGACCTTAGGCGATTGTTTTTTTATATTTTTTTCAGTTTCACCATGGATTGAAAACAAGCCCGACATGGCTTCTTCTTACTCCAACCCGCCTGCCTCACCTCCGGCGAGTCCTCATCCGAACCCTCGCCAGGGACGCTGCGTCAACCCCTAACTCGGCCTCAGATGCTGCCTCTCTTTCCTACTCAAGCAAGCGAGTAAAAACAAAGCCAGTAAAAAACATGAACAGGGTGAGCGAACATCGCTTCTCTTACAAAAAAAAAAGATGGATGTTGTCAAAGATACCAGACACATTGGAATTTGGCAGCAACAGAATTTTGTTAGAATAATATGGCACGCCATGCACAAACACATGTGAAACATGGGCATCTGAGAACACATTTTATTCATACGTAATTTGGGACGACTAAATCCAGCGAATAATAATGGTTTTCCTCCAGAGTTGATCAATAATCACATGGAAGTAGTGGAGAGAATACTGGACTCCCGCACACACGCACCTGGGGGCGTCATTGCCGTGGAGGCCGGTGCAAGGGCGAGGAAGCACAGGACGGCTGAGAGGTGGTCACCACGGGTGAAGCATGGACGCAACGAGTCAGGCAGGGTCCCGGCGCGCAGCGCTGTCAAACGCGTGCGAGATGCAGCACGACTCTTACACTGCCACGAGCTTCTGGGTCGGCACTCGCCAACAGAGAAGGAAAGCAAACCGAAACCCAAAGTGGAAGAAGCCATGTGCAAATCTCAGTTTGAGTAACTGTTTTCCCAGCATCAAGAGACACGCAAATCTTCATTGTGTTACATAGGTTGAGTCGAAATTTACAAACACATTTGCTCTGTCATCTCTGACTGGACTACAACTAGGCCATCCCAGGTTGTATACTTAGTAAAGGAAGAACTTCTTAGTACACGCCATGTAACGTGATGTTACCGTACGGGTGATCATTCTTGGAAGCCCTAACATGCTCATCCGTCAGCCCGCTAAAGGATCGTTCAGTCCAAGGACGCCAAAATGGTAGGAGCATCCACAGACAGCTCCGCAACATGTTGTGTTGTCCCTTTTCTGGCTCCCTTCGTCTATATCTCGTCCAAGACCTTGTTTAACAAGGAGCCTTCACCCCTGGTCGACGACAAATATGCGACATTGATCTCTTCCATGAATTCAGTAGCTCACCCTTGTGCCACCCAAAGAAGTCCTTTTATGGGTCGGCGTTTGTGAGGTTACCAACAGGCTTGAAAATGTGATATGCCTCATTGATCTCTTGCATGTCACCATACGGAAGGGTGGTGTGCGCCATCTAGACAAAGATTCTAGATTCCCCCTTCCTGAAGCAACTCGATGGATGGTCCGCATAGAAACGTTCTTCCTTTTCCCAGTGTCTCTTATTCCCCAATACACTTTTTATATTCTATTTATGTTCAACTCCTATCACTCAAGACTAACTCGTCTTTTTTCCTCGGCTTTTTCAGTTTTGAACGTGATGCAAGAGTGTTCCAACTATTAGAAGTCGATGCTACTGCTTGAGTGATGATGGGTTGCTATATATATGCGTGAGAGCCCATGCGCACACACACAGACCAGATGCCATGATGTTCATGGGTTGGAAGTTGTTGGCTTGTATAATTTTGCATTGATATTATTTAAAGGTCTATGACATGTTTCGTCATCATCCTTCTTTAAAATTCAAAATAATATTGTGCAGTAACCATGGTGTGAAGCCCAAGTAAAGATAGTACATCTAATGTGTTTTCGTGCCAATTTTAAGATAATTGACCTGCATGTTTTGACTGATTTGTTTTTCTTTGAGAGCTCATGTCTGGAATGTGGCATTGTGTTACTTGTAAGCTGGAATTAATGTTCGGAGATCTTATCCTCTCTTTTTTTACATAAGACAATGCTTTTCATATACAATACTACTAAAATTGGTCATTAGTTTCATAATTTGATACTGTGATGCATAGTACTTTGCCATTCAAAGGTTGGACATAAACCATAATATCAAGCAAAACATTGATATAATGGATGATACTTCTAATTCCAAAACACAATTTAAAGGGCTGATTTTGCAGAATGCTGATATTTAGGACATTGATTTATTTTCTTCCTAAAACTCAGTAGTTGTTTCTGTTCACTTTCCTCTCTCTTCATAGTTAAGCACCGAGTGCATTCACCGGCAAGGTGATGCTTCCTTGAACGAGTTGCCCCTTCCATATTTTCTATACCCAACCATGTAACCTAGAAGGAGGTTTCCATCCAAATAGTTTTTTTTTATTTTTGCTCTTTTCTATGATTTTTTGGCAGCATTTATTGGGTGCAGTATTGGATGATTGTTTGTATTTTTTATAGCAGAAGTTGGAAGCTTAATTATGCATGAAAACAGACTGTACACGACTGCTACACAAAATAGCCGATTATGCTATTCTCCTAGCAGAACATGCATTAATTTTTTTGAAAAGGAGGATAACTTCTGACCTCTGCATCAGGACGATGCATGCAGCCATATATTATTAATAGATCAAAATTCAGTAGCTGAACACCATCGACCTGGAAAAAGGCAAAAAATAAACCCTGAGGCCATATACCTCACGATAGTAACTCCCCCAGATAACCGGTAACCCTATGATAAAAGACAGAACATAAACGATTAAAATACACAACTCCTAGGCTACGCCTTCAACAAGGAATCACCGCACGTGCGTCGATGATGGCGAGTCCACCACAAGGTTGAACTTCGGATTCTCATCCCCAAAGCAAAGCTTCAATCCACCACCTTCAGCAAGGACACAACGCAGGCGCTCGACAGCATAGCCCGGTCAGAGATCTTGTGTTTCCACCAGAGTGCATAAGTTTTGTTGTTGAAGCTGTCTGTACCATCCGCCTTTAATCGCCCACCGACGCCTCGATAGCTGGATACCTTTGGAGGAGACAACGGAAGACAAAGACATCACATACCACCTGCCTCCCACTACTGTCGCACCACCTTCGATCCAGCAACAACAAACTAAACTTGACACCTCCGCTAGAGCCGCCGTGCATCACCTGCCGGTAGCAGGCATGACTTGACGTCTCCGTATAGGACGTCGTGCGTAGCATCCGCCAGTAGCACATCCACCGGTGGCTTCACCTGCCGACGACAGGCACCG